CTCCTGTCATCATACCGGTCAAGGTCAAGTTTGCGGCTCTTGTTTCTTTCTTCCTGAGAAAACAATAATCAGCAAATACTACTGAATGCTTCTTTCAAAACGCTAAATGCCAATTCAATTTAGCTAAATATAACATGCCACAAGGACCATTAGGAAAGAATTCTAACGGTAGTAGGCATAATTAGTAGGCAACTTACCCTGACCAACCCAGGCCTTCATCAGATTTATTGTCATAGATTTTAAACATATGAAAAGCTCTTTTTTTTTTCTTACATTACTTACAACAAATTCCTTTCTTGTACTTCTCCCCTATTTGATTTCATGTTTTCCTTTTCTTTCATTCTTTCTTTCAGCACAAAAAACTAATCTATCAAAATTGGTTGAGCACCAAGACATTTCATATTTGATGCATTTTAAGCCTGAAATGTACAGACAAGGTAGAAAATAGTATGTTTTAAAGTCCAGCATCGACAAACAATCAGGAGAAATTGAAAAATGGGAGATATTATTCTTCTCTGAGGTCAGAAAAACTCACAGATGATACTAACTGAGAATCTATATAGAAGAATAGGAAACATTATACCAGCACCTGAACTACATATTCACAATACAAACTTAAGGGGATCTGGAAAAGATGTATTAATTTGCTGTTTTACTAGAATCCATTGGGCAACGGCATTCAAATAAAGTTTTGATTATTTTAAAAAATAATAATAATAGACATAGTAAGTGGATAGTTCAGGCAATTTATACAACCAATATCTTGGATGCCAGGCACTATAATGTAACACTAAAAGCAGAGCCACCATAGACAGTCAGCATATACCAAGCATGTAAATCATCTTCCCTGAAGTCCTGCTAATTTATCACGGATTTGCATATAGCCTAAATGACGTTTGCCTCCAAAATGATCTGCTAAACGTTGGTCACTGAAAGAAACAAGAAAAATCAAATCACTTTAACCTAGAAACTTAAAAAAAGAGAAAAATATATAAACTGCAGTAGTATGCATTATAGATTATACAGTTTCCCAAATATTTACTATCTAACAATTGCATGATCTACAAGGAAAAAAACAGAAAAAGACGCACATTATGTAGCTGCAAAAGTTATCCTCGTAAAACTGGGCCCAGAAGCCTGTTGGTGACGAGGTATAAAAGCCAGGTCAAAAGCTGAAGCACTTGAAACCCCAAACACTAACTTTTTGAAGCCCTTAGAAAGAAGATAAAAGGCTATGATCAAGAAGTAAAAGATAAAAAATGTACCTGTCATAAACACTCAAAAGTGCTCCACAAATATCACAAACATGTAGCTTTTGATAAGTCTGAAACAAATTGGGATAAAAAGGATTAGAGCAGATAGAATATTAACATATAAATGAACTAAAAGAAAATTAAACTAAAATCAAATTATGACAGGGACTGTTCATGCATTAATTATGCAAATCGAATTCATATTTTCCCAATAAGGTCCAAGTGTCCAAGTTTTCTTATCTAGTTTTTGTCATCGTTTTCCTTCTGTGAAACTAAAAGAAAGAAAAACAGAACTCACAATGCGAACATCTGCAGCAATATACTTATTAGAGGAATCCAAAACAGGCTCTTGTCTGGTATAGAGCTGAACATATATGGAAAAACAATTATCCACAAACAAGGCATGCCAAGGAGAAGGAAATGGTGCAAGTTAATAAAATCAATCTACTGAAATAACACTACTAAATTCAGAAATTGAAATTTTCTTGAGTGCTTCAGCCCCCTCTAATGTTTTTTGTGCCTTGTCTACCATCCCCTTCTCACCTAAACAACAATAATAGAGCAAGAGAAACTATCAAAGAAAAAATAGATAAGTACATCACGTATTCTTGAAAACTTTGTACAACACAGTTCAATAAAACACAGATAAGTACAGTTTTCAAACAAATAAAATAGATTTCCAAATAACTAAAATCCAAACCCCAAGGATCCTTTTCTTAATACAGCTGCCAGCCTTTTCCACAGATATCAATCAGAAAGACTATTGACTTTGGGCTAACATCATGGACAAGAAGCCATTTCATTCAAGAGCAAGTCTTCAGTTTATCAATTTATTAGTTTCATTATCATTTCATCTTTATCATTCAGAGATATTTGGATAACTAAATTTTTTTAAAAGCCTTTCTGTATGTTTTAAATGAAACCACCCTAATGGCATTGTTAATATAAGGCACTGAGTGTTAATTGTAAAAACAGTAAAGCACTGAGTCTATATCAACCATTGACAATTGTTTTGGAATGGCAGGGGGAACAAATTTTCTGACATTGGCATTTTTTTATAGGAAAAAAAAAAAGTAAAAGCACAAACAGGAAGGAACATAAAGTGGCATAATAAATACCTCAGAAACAACTTAAGGATTACTGCTATTCCATTTCTAGGAATTTAATTATTTAAGACATGCTACCTAATAGAGATCTATCATCAAGAACTCAAGATGTTTATGTTTTTTAACACATGCTACTTAATAGATATCTATCGTCAAGAACTCAAGATGTTTTGTCCATGCTTTACATACATAAAATATGGAGTTCAAGTAACCTGAGTCTTACCAAGATCCTCAGCTTTCTTCAGCTTCTCATTTATCATTTCCTGGGTCCGAGGATCCGGTGCAGGCAAAGGCAGTGGTGCCAAAGATGGAGGGTTTGGCAATGGTTGGGGCAAAGATGTCTGATCTTTATTGAATGCATCCAAAAGCAGTGTTTACTATAACACAATAAACAGCAACATCATATATACCAAGAGACTAAATGTTATACAAGAATCAAATTATGAGGAACTTAATACACAGTCAATATAAAATATTCTGATATGAATAAATAAATACTTTCAGAGACCCATTTCAAATCCTACATCTAAAGAAGCTATCAAGTACCTATTTATTTGCTCTTTTAGTTCTAAGCTCCTCTACTTCTTCTAGAGCTCGTATTTTAAGATCTGTCTTGCCTTCAAGATTTGCAAATCAAAGTGATATCACGTACACCCCAAAGCTAATCATAAAATTTACACAATTTATCCACAGTAAATATTAAGACAAAGGACAAAGAAAATATTATGGAACATAATTGTTGTATGTACAGAATTTAGCACTTTAAACAAAAAACTTCTAAAAGGGCTTCAAAAATCAAACACGATATGGCTTACTGGGAAGTCATCAAGTCAAGCAATGTAATATTACAGATTTGATATCATTGAAACCAATCATATATTAAACTCCCAAACCAATCATATGTTAAACTCCCTAACAAGAGAAATTTCTCAAGAATTCTCAAAAACTCATTTACAAAGGCCGCAACAAAAGTGAGACTGTGACATATCATTACTTTGTCATGCTAATCTGCCATTTAAAGGCACACCAAATGATGTGAACAGTTGACCATTCTTTGGTACCATTGGCCAGGTCCTCTAGGATATGTGAGGAGACATAGCCTTTGGCTGAATTCAATCATATTGATTTAATCTTAACTATCCAAACATATCAACCAGACAAATGGATATTCTGAGGTAGTCTCCTCACTCTAAAATTACTTATTGAATCATTTAATTATTCTTTTTATAACAAATTAAACAACTTAGAGTTGAAATAATGGGGAAAGCAGTCAAACTCCAACTATGGTTATCCCTCTGTACCATGTAATCGAAATCTTAAAATTTATGAAATCTATTGAACCTATAAACAAAAACTTCACAACAATTGTTAAAAATTTGGACATCACCCTGAATCAATTAATTCAAAGAAGAATAACCAAGTTAAATCAAAGAAAACAAATCAAGTACTCGTCATCAATTGGCAAGGCAGAAAACGCATCTTTGTTCCAATTCAAGAGTCACACCTCGTACTTTAAAACCTCAACAGAAAATATTAGCAGCCCACCCAACCCCCACACCCTCCTTTTATACATAACCTTCAAAAGGCAATTTGAAAACAAGGAATTCAAGGATAAAAGTGAAATAAAATATCAAACTCAACATCAAAAGTAGATAGATTTCAATAAAAATCAAATCATAAAAACTTACCTAATAATACACTAAGTCAAATGCTTCCAATGTTACCTTAACTCTCAAAAAAAAAAAAAAAAAAAAGGATGAATAAATAAAAATCTTCTCAAAAGAAAAAATCTTAGGTGATAACTTAGAGACAGCACTGAAAAAATAAAAGACGAGCTACTGCAAAAATATGATACCATATTGATCAGCTTCTTTCAATTTCTCCTTATTCTGCTTTGAAAGCTCTAGTACTTCTGGTGTCTGTAACATCACATAGAAAATAAATAAATATGTAAGTCCCAACTGGGAGAAAGGTCAGATAGATAAAATTAATACTTATCCAAAACCAAAGTAACTTTAGAGACTAATATAGCAATAGCGGCCTTTGCATCCTCATCTTCAAGACACTTAAGAGCTCTAGAAATTTTCCTATCACACTTAACAATGAGCCTGTCAATAGCATCTTCCAACTCTCTCTCATAATTATCGATGCTTTTTGCCTTAGCTTCTTCATATCTAAGAAGGGTTAAGCAACCACAGATGCAGAAATACAGAAACAACTACAAGTGCATAGCATAGGCATATCATCAGCAAAGACATTACTTTTGAAAAACTAACAGAAAGTACCTACTATTAAAAAAGCACCTATCCAGCATTATGAGTAATATAAGGATACTCTCTCCTCAGCTGCAAAGAGTGGACCTTCGGACATGGCCCTATATCCATTTTCTGAACAAGAGAAAACACAATATTGAAATCAGAAATCCTAAAGTCTCAATAACTTACAAAGAAAACAACACGAAACAACAAGTTTGAAATCAGAAATCCCAAAGTCTCAATAACTTGCCAAAAAATCTATAAACAAGTATCTACAACTCAAATGTGACCAAAAGCTAAAGTTGAACATATAATAGTTTACCACCTAAGAACAATGATACCTATGAATACTACAAGAGCATATAGTATCTACCTAAGAAACTCACCAAAATACCTTCCTCAACACATAAAATGATACGTGTCATACCAGTTGACAATAAACAATAGGATTGTAAATGCGACACTAATTAAATTTATAAAGAAACATGGATCACAACCAAAAATTCCTAGTTCATTTGTCTTCTATCTTACATTCCTGTGATAAATAGAGAATTTAATGCCTAGCACGATTTTCTTTATGACACTTCACAAGTAACCAGAATAAACAATTGAAAGTGCACAGAAACAGCATCCCTATCATTTGAATTTATATCTCTTCCAAATATACCCATGATAAAATAGAAAACTTATATCCATGACCCTTGTTCTAATTTATACAGATAATAAGTCACCAAACTAACCCAAAAATAGCTAATAGTAACATACCTTTGCTATTCATGCACAACTACCACTTCTTTTTTCTTGTTCTTTATATTTCTTTAAAACCATTTTCACAATGCTTCCAGTAGCAGTCTTCATAAATACATGTAATTCAAGCTTACCACTAATTCAACAACTTTCCTCTCTCCCTCTATCTCAGAATCCCATTTTTCACAGACACAATTTTCAATTCATGTCTTCTTAATTAGGAGTTAGGGCATAACAAAAACCAGATTATGTGTTGCTCGCACACTCAACCCCAACTCAACCAATCTTTCTTTCTAAACTTCTCCTGCTTCTAAAACACCAAATTCCTCAGAAACCAAACACAGATAAGCAATTCGAATTCATAAACTACGGTTCAAAAGGAAAGAGATGGGCATGAATCATTTAACAATCAACGAAACATAAAGAAAAGATTAAAAAAAATAATAATAAGGAATCAATCAGGAGAATACCGTTAAATGGAAGAACTCGTGAGGACAAAGGCCGAACAAGTAGAGGCGGCACACATCGCGATCTTAGTACTTCCGATTCACCTCCCTTACGTCACCATTACGGTACACACCCATCAGCACATCGAGCTGCTTCCGAAGTGTTACCGCACTTCCTAAAATAACTTGGTATTGATACTTATGGTTACACAGTGGTCATGAATCAGAAAAGCCCAATGCTAATGGTTCTAAAAATCGAGATTAAGGAGATTGTGGCTCATAATCCTTTCTGCTGAAATTTGATGGTGAGTTGGTCTATTATATATGCTCGCTGAGCAGTGCTAGGGGCACTCGCCTCCTGCACTCTCCGGCCAGCACTTCCATTTTTATTGGGCCACGTTATTTTGATTTAAGAGGTTGCGTTTCAAAAAGGTTTAAATACCATTTTGGTCCCTCAACTTTTCACTTTGGCACCAAAACTGTCCCTCACCTTTAAAAAGTACTAAAATTATCCTTAAACTTTCATTTTTGTACCAAAATGGTTCTTCCGTCAGTTAAATGACAGGTGGCACGTTAAAATGCCAACAAATCAATTCTTTTTTTTTTAATCAATGACATGGAAAAAAAAAACATAGTTGGCTAATTTTTTTATGAGTTGGCATTTTTTATTTATTTAAAATTAATGATATATATTTTTTTCATCCACATCATCTCGTCTTCCTCTTTCACTCTTTCTGCTTTACCTTTCCTTTTCCCTTACCTCTGCAAACCCAGATCTGGGTTCTCTCTCAAACCCAGATCTAGGTTTCCTCCCCCCATTCAACCTTATGAAACATATTACCTGCTCATCCTAAACGTCAGAAAAAAAAATTCTTCTTTTTCCCTGCTCATCCTTCTTCTTTTCTTATTCTTTCTCTCTTTTCTCTCCTCTTCTTCCTCTCTAGATCTGGGTTTGAGAAAAACCCAGATCTAGAATGCGCCTCATCTCCCAAACCCACCCTCACTCTCCAGCCTCTTCAGTGAATTCAGCTAAACAACTCAATACCCCTCTGTTTTGTTCTGTTCTGTTCAGGTTTTTCCCTCTTTGCTTCGAGTCCGTTTTCCATTTTTTACCCTGAGAATCGATTCCATGGCTACCGCACTGGCTACAACTGCGACCGCACAGTCGAACTTCTATTTCGACGAGAAGTGGAAGCTGTCGAAGAAGGAAATTCGCCGCTCATGAAGAATACGTCGCAGTAGCGGTATTCTTTCACCAGAAAATGCACGCGATTGGACCAGAAAATGCAGCGGTATTCTTGAATCAAGAAAAGAGGAATCAAAAAGTTAGATCTAAGAGAGTAAAAAGCCTTTCTCCTCTCTCTCTCTCTTTCGAGAATCAATGGGTCCGACAGGCGTGCGGTGGTTTAGCAAGCTTGAGAAAACCCAAATCTGGGTTTGAAACCCAGATCTGGAGAGGAAGAAGGGAGAAGAGAGAGAGAGAGAAAGAACAAGAAGAAAACAGAAAGATGATCTGAGTTTGATTTTAATTTTGCAGGAGTAGTAGTAGGTTTAGGGTTTTGAATTTGAAAAGGAAATGAAAAAAAACGAAGATAATTGAACTGTGATTTTTGGGGAACTTGATTGAAACTGGAAAAAGAGAAAACAAAATTTTCATGTGGGCCCCACTAAAAAGAGAAACTGAGAAGATGACAATTTGACGTGTAAAAAATGCCACGGTGTCAAAAATGTTGTTGCTGGATTTACACGTCATTAAAATAAAATAAAAAAACCATTGATTTTGTGGCATCTTAACGAGCCACCTGGCATTTAACTGACGGAAGGATCATTTTGGTACAAAAATGAAAGTTTAAGGATAATTTTGGTATTTTTTAAAGTTAAGGGACAATTTTGGTACCAAAGTGATAAGTTGAGGGACTAAAATGGTACTTAAACCTTTCAAAAACTCATAAGCAAGCTTACGTGGCCCAATGAAAGTGGAAGTGTTGGCCGGAGAGTGCAGGAAGCGAATGCCCTTAGCGCTGCTCATGCTTCAATCTTCTCTACGGTCTACATTTGTCTAATAAAAATGTATCTCTCTCAGTCTCTTGTATAGGTAGAGTCATATTGGGATGTTTTCTTAATTAATTCCTTACTTCCCACATTGTTTGGCACCCAAAGTGTTACCTCATTTCCTAAAACTGATATATATATATATATATATATATATTTCTGTTCATTTGCAAATTATGGTGTTCAATTTATTCCATTACAGTAGTTCAGTTTGGTTTTATTATTGTTACAGGTACAATATATTTGCTTCTCTTGTTACTTGTTTTGTATTCAATGTTGCTTTTTTACTTTTCTGAATTCTGTCAATTATCAAACGCTAGTTGTAAAAAACCATCCCCAAATTTTGATGGATTATTAACCTAGGAAGGTAAATTAAATTACTAGATAAATTAACGGAAAAAAGTACACGTGACTTGCCACTAAATATGTATATTTTATAAGTAAAATTTGCATAATTTTGTTTTGTTTCATTCGATTTTTTTTTTTTTTTAATCTTAAGTAGAGTTTTGTTTTGTAGAACAAAAATATTGACCCAAAGTATTACACTCCTGAGGCCTTAAGCATGATTAAAGAAAAATGGTTTTTTTTTTTGAGAAATAATAAAACAATAATAAAATAAGTTGGCGTTTGCTAAACTCCTACACCTTAAGCATGATTCTGGGCCCATGCAAGATTTATTAGCATTTTTTTTCAAACCTTAATTGAATATTTGTAATTGTTTATTTGTTTACCGTATACATTCTAAAACTAATGAGTAAAATAGATGATGGCATTCAAAATATATTATCTCATCTTGTAAAATTCAAAGTCTAACAGATATGTTTATGAGATATTTGAAAGGTAAAGTGTTCTTAAAATTTAATCTCAACTTTTATAAATTCTGTCTTTGTTTATTTTTAAATTGATAAGCTTACCTAGTTTGAGATGGGTAAAAAATAAGTAATGATAAAGAAGGTGAAATTTTGATATCAAAGTTTGAAATTGTTATTAAATGAGTTTACGTATATAATATTATGGATTTCAAAAAAGTAAAATGAATAAATTATTAAATAATATAATATTTTATTTTTTAATATTTTAAATGACATAATTTATGCTATATTATTAATTTTAAATTTTGATATTGTAAATC